GAGTTCGAGACCAGCCTGAGCTACAAAGTGAGCTCAAGGCCAGTCTGAACTCCATATTGAGACCCTGTCTCAAAAAAAAAAAAAAAAAAAAAAAAGAGAAATTACATTATGATACAATTATAGAATGAGACAAATCTATATTAAGATGAAGAGATTTTCATAATATACCTATATAAAGAGAGGTTTGTAGAGGCATAGAAAAAAATCCAAGATGTATACAACATCGTTTATTGCCTCTAGGAATTAGAAACAGAGGGGGATAATTTTACTTAAAAAAAATTTTTGAGAGAAATGTATAGCCATATTGGCTAATCTTACCAAAAATAAAAGTAGTTCCTTACCATGCGTTTAGGGTTTTTCCTCCAGTATTTTTAAAGAAGCATTTAATAACTTTGTATTAAGGCAAAATAGAAGAAGAATGAGGGGAGGGAAAGGTTAATAAGACTAGACTTCAGAGAGACCATATTGAGCTGGGTAGGATGGATAAAGAGTATATCCTCAGAGGAAAGTCACCCCACAGCCACAGCAGCTTCAACCAAAAGAAGTAGATGTTATTTCAATTTGGGAACTACTCCGAAGGTGAATGGGTAAGTGGTAAAGCCACTAACTCAAACAAGAAATACTTGGTGGTGCACTCCTGTAATCCCAGCACTCAGGAGGCTGAGGCAGGAGGATCATTGCGAGTTTAAGACCAGCCTGGGCTACAAAGTGAGCTCAATGGTAGCCTAAACTGCATAGCAAGACCCTGCCTCAAAAAGACAAAAAAAACCCCAGGAATTCTGTGACAACTTCCATATACAGCACAGGTTCATCTTGAAGAGCTAGGGGCTGCCTCTTCTGGCTCAGAAAATGATGAGAATCTCCAAATAGTTGGTAGCTAAAGGGTGAGTGGCTAACACTGACAGCTTGGAAAGTCAAGGAGACCATGGATAGCATCCTAATGGTGGGCAAAGGACAAAGAACCAGTGTAGAAAATCAAAGAGATTAAAAAAAAAAAAGTCAAATACATGTAAGTCCCTGAATGGAAGAAAATTTCAAGGCAGGACCCCATAAGAGAAAAATAGGGGCCTTTGCAAAAGTGCACATTCACAAGGACAAGTTTTACTCAAGTTTTATTTTACTAGGTAAGCTTAATGTTGTAGCTTCCCCAAAGAAAGCCAGAGGACATCATGCTGTGGTGACTTCCGTGACTTCTTCATACTTGGAGAAGAGCAAAGCATGTCTGTCGCCTGAACCTATCATCTGTGACACTGTTTTCCAAAATGGTAGCCAGCGTCTACTATGGTGATGATCACTTGAAACGTGGCTACTGCAAATTAAGATGCACTTTAAAGGTAAAATACTGGATTACAAACAGTACAGAGAATGTAAAATATTAGTGTGTCTTATATTAAATGTTGACACATTTTAGACATACTGATATAGCTCATCTTTTTACTTTTATTGTGGCTCTCATTTGTTTTGCACAGCACTGAACCTACTCTCCTGGTAAAATACCTTAGTAACCATCAGCATCATCTTCCTACATTGACCCAAAGTTATGTAATAATGGCATATTGGGCCGAGGATGTAGCACAGCATCTGCCTGGCAAGCGTGAGGCCCTGAGTTCGATTCCCAGTACAAAAAAAAAAAAAAAGGCACATCACACCTGTGCAACTATATCCTAATTATTCCATGATGGCCAGTTTGGGAGGTATGTATACATGATCTGTTATCTTCAGTGTTACAGAACCTAGGAGGCTCAACCAAGGTCAGTTTAGATTAGGACTGTCCAGATGTCATGATAGTACGTACCTGTAATCCCAGCACTAGAGAGGCAAGGCAGGAAGATCTCAAGTTCAAGGCCAGCCTGGGCTACATAGTGAGACCCTGTCTAAAAAAGAGGAAGGGAGAGACCAGGATTGATAGGACTTGGTAGGGTGATTATGGGGGGAAACAAAAAAAGAATATAAGCTATTTGTTTCAAGATATTCAGTAGTTTAAAAAAGAGTCAATAGACAAAGAAATGAAAGAGGAAATGGAGAAGTCTCAAGCATGTTCATGAGCTGAAGAAAAAGCCTAATGGTGAAGAAGTCTGAAGAAAATTATTAACTATAAAAGTGAATCTGAGCCATTGTATCAGTCAGGGTTTTACCGGAGAAACAGATATAACACAGGATGTACAAATTATAAGAAATTACAAGACTGGCTTACGACGGTCAGCCAGAGAGTTGTATGGGGAAGTGTGCAGAGGGTGTCTGCACACTGAAGACCGAAGGAGTCAGTCCAGGGTGTGGAGTTCACTGCAGAGTTCCGTGCAAGTCTGTACCAGGAGGCCGATGAGTCTGCAACAGAAGACTGAAGGATCCAAGGTGGAAGCCGAAGAGTCTGCACTAGAAGCCAGGAGACTTAAGTCCAAGCTGAAGGTGAAGACTGGAACTCCTCCAAAAGGAATGGAAGTACCTCTGTCCTTCTTCATTTCCCTTTATATTAGCTAGGTGATGATCCACCCTAGGGTGGCTCCTCTACACCCTAGGGTGTAGAATTGCTGGGCCAATTGCTGAACCAAGTTTAGTTATGCTTCTAAACTTCTCAAGTTGACATAATCAATCAACCACTACAGCCATGCATGTTGGCACTTGCCTGTAAGTCTCAGCACTAGGAAGGCTGAAGCAAGAGGACTGCTGTGAGTTCAAGGTCAGCCTGAGCCACAGGGTCAGTCTGAATTGCGTATCAAAACCGTGTCTCAAAAAAAAGTGTCTCAGAAGTGGCACATATCCATAGCAACTAGCCAAACACGTCTCTTGCACATCAGGATAGGTGTTCGACTGAGACAGTTACATGGCTTTCCCAGTCACGCTGCTCCTTGGGGCTATTTAAACACAGGTCAGGATTAAGTAGGTGTTCTTCCCAATCCCAGCCAAGAGAAGGTGAAAAAGACCCTAGGATTAGGTCATCATTTCAGGAATCCCCCTTAAATAGGAAATTCTTTTTTTTTTTTTTTATTCATTTTTTTCCCTCCAGTACCTTGCGCTTGCCAGGCAGGCGCTGTGCCGCTGAGATAAATCCCCAGCCCCTTAAATAGGAAATTCTTAAGTTCCAGAACTTTGCAAATGAGGATAGCAACCAATCTGCCTTTAATCACCATCAAATACTATAACTGGAGATTCTCATAATTTTCTGAGCTCCAGACAAACCAAATTTTCAGTTACAAATCTTAAAACAATCCTGATGTTTTCCTAGATTTTGTTCCAATGCTCTAACAAGGGTGGTCTACCAGTATTTTCAGGTCTCGTTAAAATAAAAGTGTCCTGTAATCCCAGCACTCGGTAGGCTGAGGCAGGAGGATCGTTGCAAGTTTGAGACCAGCCTGGGCTACAAGTGAGCTCAAGGCCAGCATGAACTGCATAGTGGAAACCCTGTCTCAGAAAGACAAAAAAAAGGAATCTGTAATGTAAGCTTCCTTATTCCTTTAAATGCATATATTACCTTTCCAGTAAACTCATTCTTCATCTAAACTTGAAATATTACCCACAGCAGCAATGGAAATTCCCCTTGTCCAGATCACGTGCTGCTACCTTGAGAAAGAATGTGACTACACACTTTAAGAACAGGTTAGCAGGCATTATATGTCTAGGAATACACATGTCCAAGGCATGGTACATTTACATTTTTCAAGTGGTCAAATTTCTTTTCATGGCTGCTCTGCCCAGTGGAATGTTCTACATATAATCAAAATTCTCTTACCTATACTTTTCAATAATGTAGCGAGTAGACATAGACAGCTATTGAACTGTTGAGAACTGGCTAAAGTGGCCAGGGAACTTTTTCTTTTTTTACATTTCGGTATTACCAGTTAAACCCAAGGTCTTCACACTGAACTACATGTCCAGACCTCTTTTATTTTGAAACAGGTCTCACTAAGTTACCCAGGCTGTGCTCTAACTTTCAATCCTCTCCTCTTAGATTCCTAGAATATTCCACCACACCCAAAATTCAACTTTTAAGTAAATATTTGGCTAAATCCTTGGAAGGTGCAAATAATAGACAGCGTCTCTCTATCTCTCTAAAATCTTCCCAGCCCCAGGAATTTAAGATGACTAGATAGCACATCATTAGTTAAGAGCAATTCACTAAGTCCCACTCTGGGACTGAAAATGCTTTTGGTATTTTATTTTATTTATTTTATTTTTTGACACAGGGTCTCGCTATGTAGTCCAGGCTGACCTCAAACTCACTGCAATCCTCCTGCCTCAGCCTCCCTAAATTCTGGGAATACAGGCATATACCACCATAACTGGCTAGTACTAAATTGGCCTTGGTTGGCCCTGACAAGGACTACCATGTTTAAATCCTCGTAGGTTTTGTAACACTGAAGGTAACATAACACTAAAGGTAACACTATACATACCCGCCACAGACTGGCCATCATTACATAATCAGAGTGCAGTTGGCACTACACGTAGCTGATGGGGGTACCTGGCCAGGACTGAATAATTAAACTGAATGATTAAACAGGACAAAAGCACATAGGCTGTGTATGGAGTGAATGGTTAAAATAAAGGGCAAAAGCACACTAATTAAACTGCAGGCAAAAAGTATGCAGGCTCTGTGAGGAGTGAATGGTTAAACTATCCGGCAAAAGAATATAGGCTAGCCAGACATGGTGGCACATACCTGTAATCCCAGCACTCAGGAGGCTGAGGCAGGTGGGTCGTTGCAAGTTCGAAACCAGCCTGAGCTACAAAGTGAGTTCAAGGCTAGCCTAAACTGCATAACGAGACTCTGTATCAAAAAGACAAAAAAAAAAAAAAAAGTAAAAAAAAGAGCAGGGTGTGTGAGAATCAAAAGGTTAAACAAGAAGTTTAGATTAAGTACTGTGTCTGGCCATTGTCCTTCCCCTTTCCCCAAGAAAAACTTCCTCCCCTTGAAAGCTAGCCAAACTGCTTTTTCTGTTGCTTTTTTCTCTTACATTGATATTATAAATTAAAAGCCAGAGTTTTCAGCTTAGTGGCTTTATCTCTGAGGAGTCTCCCTAAGCTCTCGTGTTTTTTTTGGTTTTTTTTTTTTTAGGTCTTTCAGTTGAAATAGCCCCTTTGGGCCTTCAATAGATTGAACTAAGTTTTGTCTTCATCGTCCACACTGTCAGAGGTCTATACCAGGACAGCCGATAATGGCTGGCCTTCATTCCTCAGTTCTTGGCAAAGCTAAAACCATTCTCAAGTGATAAAGATAAGGAAATGTCCTTTGTCATTCACAATAACACAATAAATCCTTTTTAGCTACACTTGAGCTCAGGCTGAATGACTTGGAAGATGGTTGCCACAGCGGTCAACTATAATAGAAACCTCCATGAACGCCCTACTACAGGGTTCCCAGCTTCTGGGTTGGGGTACCAGCCTGTACTAGGAAGGTGCACACCCAAGAGACAGAGTTCCCTTCCAGAATTCACTCCATGTACTTCTGTATCTGGCTATTCATTTCTATCATTTCATAAGCCAGTGATAGGTGTTTCCCCATAGGCAAATCATCAAGAGTCATAGGAATGAATCCCCAACTGGTAGTAAAGCTAAAGAAATGCAGCCTCTCTCCCTAAAATCTTCCCAGCCCCAGGAAGCGACTCCAGGGGCAACCCCTCCTTCAGAATGCTTTCAACACGGTCTGGTGCTTTGCTCACTGATAAGCAAAACACTTCAAGCAGTTCTGTCATGGGAATCTCTTCCCTCAAAGGGGCAATACTGAGTACTATCGCTATAAAAATTTTTTTTAAAAATGGGGCTATGAACAAGCTTTACAATGTCCTGACATCCTAAGACGTGCAGGAGTTTCCCTGTCAAGGTTAAGATGGGGTTGGCTGCTCAAATGACCACCTTTGTTTCTGTTCTGTATATCAACTTGCTTAGTGCCACAAATTGTATAAAAGTAGTCCTCTCCTTTAGGGCCCAACTTAATTTTGCACATTTCTAGTGGCAAGTCCTTCTGAAAGCCCTCCTGGTCTCTCCAATTTCTTGGAAATTCCACAACAGTAGATACATAGGACGCTACGTGTGGGGAACATGGGAACTCATTACTTCCAACTGGCATCTGAAGGAGGCAGGGTGTCTTGCAAAACAGAACTGTAACAGGCTCTGTGCTACCTTTGCCAGAATTTTTTTTTTTTTTAAATTTTAAAGAGTAAAAGAAGGATAACAGCAATAGGGGGGCTTAGCAAATTACAGACAAAGTGGTAGGAAATTATCAATGGTTGTTGTTTTACATATTGTTATCTACAAGATAGTTTCTCAGGAAAACAAATAGACAAATAGTGAGCTACAGACAAAAGTGGCAGTTTATTATCAATAGTTGTTGTACTATACTTTGGTATCTACTAAGTGGTTTCCAAAGAAAATAAATAGAGCTATACATGAGTGACCAACTGAATATTGACTATTCTCAATGGTTGCTGTAGGAAACACAGTAATAAACATATGTCCATTTACGAAATAGTGAATTGTAAAACATTCAGCTGGTGTAAGGAGAAAACTGGGAAAAACGCTTTGTGTGGAACATTTCCATTTGTTGTTTCCCTTTCCCGTATACCACCAATAATTGTTTTTAGTATACAGTCTCAAGATTCAGTTTAACTTCTGGATGTTTGTGCTGAGTTGATGTTTTGCCTCCAACTCTGCCTGTATCCTCCAGCTTATCTCAAACTATTGGGCATCTGTGCCACTATTTTTAAAATTTAAGATGACAAAGTGGCACGTAAATATGAAAAACATGTCTGTACTAAAAAATAAAGGACCCCCCCCATGATGTCAAAAGGGACAATAGTTTAAAACAAAAAAATCTCATCTATATTTTGTCAAAAGGATTTTTACTTTTAGCCTAGGTTCTAGCAGACATGCTTTGTTGCTTAAGCATAGCAGTTAGGCATAATAAATTCATTAAATTTATCAATCTGGTACCTTACAGTTAACATCAAGTAACAAAGAATGTAAAAATTTTTTGTATGGTTTATACATATATATGTACACATATACATATATATATATATACCAACAGACAAAAACTATAATATTGTGATCACATTTAGACTAGCTGCCCCGATCTTCCAGTTCATACTAGTGTAACACATTTCAAATTTAAGTGCTAGCCAGGTGTGGAAGAACACACCTATGCCAGCACTGGTAAGCCTGAGGCAGAATCACTGCAGTTGGTTCAAGGACAGCTTAGGCAACACAGTGAGTTCATGGACAGCCTGAACTAAGGTGAGACTGGTTAAGAAAAAAAAATACAGGGACCTTTCCAACTATAGCAGCATTAAGGAATCTCAAAATGTTTTTGAGATTTAAAGTAAATACTATACTTCACAACTAATTTTATACTTAGGCAGTCCATTTCAGTGGTTCTCTACTGTGGGGAGGGCTGAAGCAAGGCCTGCCTCAAGAACATGGGCCACCAGATATAATCTCCGTAGTTAAGTACTAGGCAGAGGGGTTTCACATGACTTGCAGCCCTCCTCCTCCCTTCCTTCTCCCATCAGAAGAGAGATCTGGTCTGTTTTCTATACTGACTCTTGTCCTTTTTTTCCATCCTCTCGCTGTCCTCACCCTGGCAACTTTTAAGAGCTGCACATGGAACACAGCACCCTGCTGTGACCCCCTTGGACATGGGCTATTTCCTGCATAGTGAACTACACCATCTTGTTTTTTTCTTTCGATACCAGGAATTGAACTCAGGACCTTGTGCTCACCAGGTAGGCACTTGTGCCACTGAGCTATTTATTCCCCAATTCCATTAACTTCTCAAACTTTTTTACTCTACAGACCTGGATTTTCAATGAGCAGACTTTAAATGAAATGCTGCCTTATTCTTCTTCATTAAATGAATACACACAATAAAGACAAATAATAAAAATAATTTTATTAAATATACAAAACACACAGTTCAAACACTGTGTCTTATAAACATCACAACTGATACACAGTATTTACAAATATATATATATGTATATTTAAGACTCCCACCTGTATGTAATTTCTGGTCCATTTGTGCGCTCAGATTTTCAAAACCTAAAATATTAATATTTTACTAGTAAGTATTTATGGATCTTTGCATTGGTTTTTAATTGTAATAATTACCAAAAATGACTCAAAGATATGGGATAATGCTGGAAACAAACTTGTAATAAAGTGCAGTTTGAGGCAACCTTAGCCATTCATTTTCTTCTTTCAGACAGGTATCCACAGTCCATATGGGCTTTTTTTCTTATCTATTTTTGGTAATCCTGAAGCTTTCTCTTCAGCAGCAATGTTAGCTGTATTCTCCTTTGGTTTTGCTACAGAACTCTGTAAGATAACAGATAAAAGTCAATTTACTAAACACAAACAGTTTAGACATAGAAATACTTGATTTTTACAAAATCTATTAACACCATCTAAGAGAGCTGAGACAAAACAGATGTTATTTAATAAAGTGACTCAATCAAACTGTGAAGCCAAGAAACCAAATAGTGTGACAACTGAGGTTTTGCTTTGTTTTGAGACAGCGTCTCCCTTTGTATTTCAGGCTAGCCTCAAACTCGCAGTGATCTTCCTGCCTTAGCCTCCAGAGTGCTGGGATTACAGGCGTGAGCCACCAAACTTGGCCTTGCTTTTTAAGCCTTTACTTTATAATATTCTCATTAGTTCAATAAAAAGGGAGAAAGATTTAAAATAACAGCAAAGCTGGGAGGCTGAGGCAAGAGAATTATCATGAGTTCAAGGCCAGCCGAGTCTACATAGTGAGTTTAAAGGCAGCCTGAATTGCATAATGAGAAGCTGTTGGAAGGAGGGAGGGAAGGAAGGAGGGAGGGAGGGAGGCAAAACAAAGGAAAGAGAAAGAAAGTGCAGAATGTTGTACTTAGAATTTTATGTACAAAGATACTCAACAGACCCCAAATTATTAAAAAGAAAACAAAAATAAAAACCACATGCAATGCAAGTGACAATCTAATCCCAATTTCTGAGCAGTCAATGCTAGGACATACTTACATTAGCACTAACAGCTGTGTTTCTCTGCTGGGAAGACTTTTCATTGGAATTTTTAGTTCCATCTTCTGTTAGCTTTTCTGACAGCTAGACAGCCAAGAGAGAGAGAGAGAGAATTTTTTAAAAAAACTTAGTTTTAACTTCTGTATAAAAAAGGCGTAGCCCAATTTTGATAAACTTAGTCACAGATGCACCAATCAAGTTGGAATTCACACCACAGTTAATAGCCTAAACAACATAAATCTGTTCTCATAGTAGGCACAAGGCACACTTCCTCATAAATATTTCATTCTCCTGCTGCAAACTCACATAACTCTTGAAAGTAAAGTCATACCAAAAATGTCTGGTTTCAAGAAACTAAGGCATTTGCCAGTAGGGCACCTAATCATCTGAATAAGTAACCAAGACCTTATTTGTCTACTAGGAGTCAGCAAACCCACACTTAGGTTCAAGATAATGTTCATTTAGACAAGGTATCTTTACTGTTAATTTTATCAATCTCTACTTTAAACCTTTAAAGCTATTAATCCTAAATTTAGATTTCACATAACAAAAGTATAGGGCAATTTGCCAATGCACATCCTGCACATTTCTTGAGAATTATAATAAACTTATCTGCATGTGAAGCAGGCTTCCTCTTCTGTAATCTCTCAAAATATCTGGAATATATTGCATATATTATGAAAGGAATATCTACCATTACAGAGTGTACCTTTGTGGTTAATTAAAAAAAATTTTGGCAACCCTATGGGAATAGTAGCTGTCCCATATTCTAGCATGCACATGGAACTACCAACCACACAAAAAAAAAACTAAGTTTTTAAGTCTGTGAATATAAACTTAGTTAAACCTCTGATGCTTTAGCCCATGTATCAATTACCAACAGATTTTCTTCATCATTGTCTGGAGACCACATTCATGATTTCTATAAGACAGAAATAAAGCAGATAAACTATACTGTATGTTGAGTACATATTTGTGGGAACATAATGCTTCAAATGAAAGCTAAAGAGAAAACACTCTGTCCATGAAGACTAGAGTAAGAACTTCATAGAAATCACCAAAGTATCAACAATATCATAGTGTTATAAAAGACGTAACCGTGTCAACTGAAAATAAGATTCACTTCCTCCCACTTTCGTGGGTATAACCCTAGTATTGTCAGATCTAGTATTGTCAGATCTGACATTTTGTTTTTGACAAATAACATATGTATATCTAGACCCTGATATACAAAGTACAGTCTAAAGGCTGGGTGTGGTGGCGCACGCCTGTAATCCCAGCACTTGGGAGCCTGAGGCAGGAGGCTCCTTGGGAGTTCAAGATCAGCCTAGGCTACAAAGGCCAGCCTGAACTGCACAGGGAGACCTTTTCTAAAAAGACAAAAAAAAAAGTACAGTCTAAGGTAAATGAAAAATGACTAATTAGCCTGGGATGGTGCCCCATACCTGTAATTCAGCACTTTGAAGTGAATTACTTCACCACTCCAAATCAGGAGGACTGCCAAGTTTAAGCCCACAATGCCCCGAGATAAAGGAGGAATGGAAAAAAAAAAAAAAGGCCCCAGCATAGTAGTCTATTCCTGTTAATGTCAGCAGGGGGGAGGCTGAGGTAGAAGGATCACCATGAGTTTGAGGCTGGCCTGAAATAAAGTTAAGACCCTGCCTCAAAAAGCAAAAATAGGCCTGGGGATGCAGCTCAGTGTAGATCCTAGATTCAGTTCCCCACTACCACCAAAACAAAAACTAAAAAACACCAACCACACACAAAAAAACTTTTTCTGACAATAGCTTTCTGAAAGTCTTTTTCTTTTTTTCCTTTTTTTTTTTTTTGGTTTTTCTCCGGTACCGGGAACCGAACTCACGACCTTGCGCGTGCCAGGCAGGCGCTTTTGCCGCTGAGCTAAACCCCCAGCCCCTCTGAAAGTCTTTTTCTTATAAATCTAAAACACTTACCTTGAATTGTGCACCATCACCTGCTACAGCTGCTCCATGGCTTGTCTCTTTAGGTAGAGAAACGGTTCTGAGACTAGCAGGCAAGTCGAAGTTGGTTGTTCCTAAAGCTTTTGCGGCATTGGCTTTTGCTATTTCTAACAGCTCCATTCGATCTAAAAGAAGATTAAGACATTCATTAATCCTGTTGCGGTTTTAAGAGGACTAAGACTCACAAAATGTGCCTAATCTTTTTACTTAAAAAGATAATTTGTTTTATCTTTCACAAGTAAAATGTAACTTCAGGGAAACAAAATTTTCTACCTGATTTTTTCCTGAGGAAAGTGTTTGTAAATTATGTAATAATTTTTCAGCTGACCAACAGCTGACACTGTTCTTCACATTCAATTGTTCACTGCAAAGCTTAAACTAAGTCACTAACATTTTTTCGGTATTGGAAATCAAACCCATAGGCAGTCTACCACTGAGCTAATCCACAGCCTTCTTGGAGTCTTACTAAATTGCCCAGGCAGTCCCTGAATTTGCAATCCTCCTGCCCCAGCCCCTGCACCCCCACTAACATTTAAAAGGCTATACCCATCAACAGTGAGTTGAGGTCTGTAATCCCCGCACTCTGGGAGGCTGAGGCAGAAGATCTGCAAATTCCAGCCAGTCTGAGCAAATTAGTCTCAAATTATTTTTAAGAGGCGTAGGTCAGAGCAAAGGCCCTAGGGGTTCACCAGTACGGGAAACATAAATAAAAAGCTGCATTAAAAACAGCCAGGCAGTAGGAAGGAAGGTTTTTCTCCAACCTGAGTCATTAACATCATATTTGGACTTTTTTTTTTAATTCTAAAAAAAAAAAAATTCTAGGAAAAAAAAACGTTGTCCACTTAAAGCCTAGATTCCCAATTATACTGCAGCTGTGTCCTCCCTCTTTCCCTAACAAGTAATTACAGTACCGCCGTTTCCGGCACCGAAGTCACTAGCAACTACACACCACTCTGGGTCCCCGAACTACGCGCACGCGGCCCCCCTCCCCGTCACAGGCGGACGTGAACCGGGAGCCCGAACGCACAGCACGCACCTTTCTCACTCAAACGCAAGGGGCTTCTGCTCCGCGACCT